ACAGCATTTTTAATATCGGTAAATTCATTTTCTATAGTAGATCGTGGGATGGCAGGTGTTCTCCGTAATATAGCATCGATATTCCTGAATGCATTTCGAACAGATTCAGATGTGGTCTGGTATTCATTAGGTCCTGGCGCTTGAATTGTTTGAGCCATTACAGGTTTATTATACTTCCGAGATGTAATTTTTCGGATTCTATTTTTTAACTTGATCACTTCCTCTTCGAGTATAGTCAACTGTTGCTCGCGATTGAGTAGAAATCCCTCTTTTTTATCAACATCCTTTAGAGCTATTCTGAGACGCTTTTCAAGATCGGAAACTTGGGATTTGAGTTCCTGTATTTCCTTTTCGTGAGCTATGATTGTGTTATCCTGAAAGGAGACAGTTCGGCCACAATGCTCTAGCTCTTTTATGAGATTTCGGATTTTTTTCTCGTTCTGGTAATTGATATCTACTTCAATATTAAGTTCCTTCCTCAACTCGTGATTACTTTTCAGCAATGCTAAATAAGCTGGATCGAAATCCATGTCAAAAAATTCGCTTGGTTTATAGTATTGATTATAACATTTTGCAATCATGGCAATGAGTGTACCTAGTATTATAATCAGTGCAGATGAGGAATTAAAATTCATTCTTTGTTTAATCTACTATCACGTACCTGGATTTAGTTCAAACGCAAAACATTTACAAAAAGCTTGTCAACAAGAAGGATACAATCATTTTTCCCTGCAAGATATCGAAAAATGGTTAAAGCATCAGTATGTTAATCAAATACATATCTTTCTGCAAAAATGCAAAGCCGGAGCAGGGTTTCAGAAGATATCTATTCCTAACAAAGTACATCAGTGCGATCTGTTAGCACATACCCATGATTATGAAGGCGGAAAGATATATCTCTATACTTTAGTGGTAATAGACGTCGCCACACGGTTTAAAGGTGCACGGTCATTGACATCGAAAAATAGTCTGGAAGTTTGGAATGCAATCAAAGAAATATATGAAGACCCCGATAACCCTCTTACATGGTCGAAATTGTTAATGACTGATGGCGGGAAGGAATTCTCTGGATATTTTTCGCGAGGGATGGAACGCCATAATGTCCCCATCTGGGTTGTCGACCTTTACAGTTTTGAAAGCCTAGCAATTGTTAAGGCATATAAGCGAGAGTTGGCAAAAAAGACATACAAAATCCAATATGCAATAGATTCAAAATTACCAGCAGGAGAGCGATCGAGATTGTGGAATAAAATTCTCCAAGTAATTGTTGATTATATGAATAATACAAAGACACGTTTAATAGATATACCACCTGCTAACGCAATGAAGTTGAAAGAAGTGATCTCTAAACCATCTATCAAACCCAAAAGACCTATTGGGGAAGACGAAGAGCAAATACCACTGTTAGATACCTATTAAAACCTGGTGAACTAGAAGGCGGACATACACACTGAGCAACTGATCCATACTGGAGTTTATGTGTTTATCAAATCAGAAGAATCGTTGTTGGAAAGAATCCTCCACAACCAGTTTTATATTACCTTGAAAAGGAACCAGTTGAATCCACAAAACATTTAATGGGACGTAATCCTCGTAGACCATTCAAAATGGAAGAATTGCAAATCGTAGATATGGAAAAATTAGAATACCCACCAGACGAATTTATCCAAAAATATCATTATCAAACCGTTAACCATGTAACTTCAAAACCAGAGCATTTTTGAAATGCGCCATTGTCAATTGGAACAGTCTTGGAGGTAGCCGTTCTTGATTAGAGATCCTCGGATAAAGTTATAAAGATCTACGTCATATGAAATTTCGATGAGGCATATACCTTGCTCCTTACATATATCCCGCTTTTTTTGATCACGTAGTTGCTGACTTGTCAAATCAGTCTTGCCATTCGGGTGAAAATGCTTCAGAACAACCTGAAAATGTTGCTGGCCATGGAACTCAAATGCTAGTTGCAATTCCTTATTATAACCGTCAAGATGTAATCCTTCTAAGAACTTAGGTCGGGATGGCGGAAATTCTTTTCCTAACAGGTCTTCGAATATATACCTTGATGTACGTTCCCCTTTCGAATGAGGACATAGGGGGCACCAGTCATATCTCTTCGTAATAGGCCTCTCCCATAAGTGATTTCTATGACATGAAAATAAGAATGTTGTAGGACCGGTTTGGATGTGAACTTTTCCTCCGCGTTTTTCGGCATAAATTTGAGCTTCAGTAAGGTTCGTCATGTTTATACTTACTTATTATTATGTGTATTAATATTAAGAAAAAAATATCACGTGCGTGTTATTTTTGATAACGCTGATTATTCTTTCTTGGCAAGAAAAAAAAAATTCTTAGAAATATAGTTGAATTAGTATCAGAATGAAATATTTTTATGTATATCATATTGACGAAATTAAACCACCGAGAATATCTTTAGACGATATAGATGCTCCTAAGTGGCCCTTTTATATTGTGGTATCTGGGAGATCGAATACTGGTAAAACCAACATGCAGTTAAACCTCTTTAACGGGGATAAATACTATGATCTGAAAGAGGGAAAAAAGAAAATTGGTGAACGTTTTATACGTTGCAATGATCTAGTACTTGTGGGACATTATATTAGTGAACCCAAATGGAAGTTAGTTCGAAATTTTTATAAGAAAATAGCAGATCGTTCCAAACCATATTATGAAGATGTTACATTTACTGCACTTACATCTGATAAAATTCCAGACCCAAAGCAGTTTAAAAATCCAAAAAGACGTACAGTAATTATCTTCGAGGATCTGTGCACTGAATCTCCAGCGATCCAAAATCGTATCATTCCATTTTTTAATAGAGGACGTCATAGCAATATCTCCGCCATTTATATTTCGCATAAATTTACACAAGTACCAAAAATCATTCGTGAAGGAATTACTCACCTCGCATTATTCAATGGTGGGGGGTCAACAGAAGATATTGCACGAATTATAAGACAATACATAGAGGAAGATCCATGTAAAGCTTCTAAAACCATCAATAAATATTTGCGGAATGGAGAGTTTATAGTTTTTGACACTACCGTACCAATCTCTGATTCTATGTCTATTAGAATCGGTTGGATGAATCCTCTAGATCTGGAAAAAGAGATCAAATCATTAACAGCGTAATAAAGAAAATAAATTATGAGATTTTTTAGTAAAACTAACTCTGCTAAGCTTGGATAACTTATCTTTATCCTCTACAATTGTAACTTTTTTCCTTCGATTTCATATAAAAAAGATGTCCAAGTTTAATCAAATAATAATATTTCTCCCACTATTTTTTTATATATAGAATATAGTATATAGTATATATCTTACTCGCCACTCTGTAGAGATGCACGTATCCAGCCGGTGTTGAAATTGAGGTAGATATATATTTCAGATAAAATGCACTCCTCCGTGTATTCAATCATTATTCTATCTGCCAC